TTATATATCACATTATTAACAAGAATAAATTTTTATTATCGTATGATTATTTGTACTATAATTACCAAGGAGGAAACGGCGGATTCCGGATTCCCAAGATTTCCAGGATTCCCACGGGATTCCTGGGAATTCCCATGGAAATCCCAGGAATCCCGTGGAAATCCCATGGGAATCCAGGGAATCCCGTGGGAATCCTGGAAATCCCGTGGGAATCCCTGGAATCCACCGTTTCCTCCTTGATTTTGAGAGTCTTGTTCTAATTCTCCAAGTTCCGAGTCAACTTCTTCATTGTCATTGTCATCACTAGTATGTTTGGCCTGTTTATTTTTGATGATTACTTTATCTATTGATGACTCTTAGGCACAGGATTCCCTGGATTCCTAGGATTCCCATGGGATTCCCAGGATTTCCAAGATTCCAATGGGATTCCCTTGGGATTCGGAATCCCGGGAATCCGCCGTTTCCCCCTTGCTATAATTAGTGTTTTTATGCCAAATTCGACCTTCATTTTTCGTTTGACAACAAGAACTAACTTAAATTTGGCCATTAATAAAAATGTTTCCAGTCGAATGTTTATGAACACAAATATTGTTTTGAAAATATATGTATATATAAACTCTTTGAACCTTTAAAGAGTTGTATACATAAACATTTTGTAGACTTTCAGAACACTCTGTACTATTGAAATATGAAGACGGTGCAAAAAGAATCTGCGACTGATTTTATTTAAAACCAACAAGAATCACTGCTGCATTAATATTGTTGTCTGTGTGTAGTTCATACAATCCTCGATAAACAAAGACAAATTTTAAATGAAATGATTCGAAATGGAAAAAATCTAATATGTCTCGAAAAAATGATGAAAACGATCTCATTTTTTTCCGAGTACAAAATATAATGAAAAGATTTCGGTTGCATATGTTAAACAGAAAGGGAAATATGGAATTATAGTTTATGTGTATACTAATAAACAGAATGTATAGTGATAAAGAAACACAATAATGTTATATTTATGAATATCTAATACAAAATATACACGAAAATGTTTATAAAAAATAAGTGTTTGGACAATGCGTATTTCATTTTTTTTCTTCGTCGTTTGCAGTTTCTTTTTCTGATGGATTGTGGCCTTGTTCGAACTCCCCAGATCATAATAACACCTATTGAATGAATAGAATGTGAGTGTAAATGTGGGTATTTCTATTTTTTTCACTCCTACGTTCACACTCACACCTTTTTCCGTTTAACATATGCGACCGAGATCTTTTTCTCTAATTTACACCTTTCTCGATTAATGAGTTTTTTTCGAGATCAATTTAGCGTTGTCCATTCGGCATAATAATGATCTTATGGCAAAAGTTATTTTTCAATATATTTCTAATAAAATCAATTAATAATCATGAAATATAATTTTATTCATTTGTTTTTTTATCAGAATAGTTTTACAAAATATTATTATAAATGAATGATTATTAAATTTTCTTTTGTCTCATCATTGATACATAAGTCATGATTACGAATTTTCTAATAAGTCTTATCTTGATAATATGTGACAACTAAATTAACATTCATTTTTATTTTAATTTAACATTGTCAATGATACTTTCAATTAGTTTAAGTTTGACATAAGATTTGTCTTCTCTTTTGAGAATAGTTCAGTATTAGACTAATATTCTTTCTTCTGTTTTCACAGAAAAAAAAGTTCATGAATAAAGACCGAATGATTATTTTTGACAAATTTTGCACTTTAATTTTCTTTGTAGAAGAATAGCACTAAACACTTATAAGCGAACGAAGTGTTCATATTGTTAGGAACACATATACGATAAAAACGAAAGGTAATTTCGAATCCGCGTGAAGGTCTGGTATTGTATTTCATAAATGTGTAAGAACTTTTCACAATATTACTTAATAATAGTAGAAGATTTCAGCTATTTATTGTTAATTTCTAAGAAAAAGTATTCGATAATAAAACATTTAAATGACTTTT